CCGCCCTGCGGGCTCTGCTTGGCGGCTGCAGCGGGAGCGCAGGGACGCTGCAGTCAGAGAGGGGCAGGCATTGTTGAGTGATCTTCGTTATTCAGTTTCACAGGCTGGGCTTGGCAAGGGAGGGAGACACAGGAGGAGGAGTCAAGGAAACTTGCAGCGCTGCGCCTCGCTCTCCTGCCCTCCTTCCTTCCTTCGGAGCTGGCAGCAATTCCATGCAGGAAAGAAGAAGAAGAAGAAGAAGACATGGAAGAAAAAGCAAATAGCCAAAGAGAGCAGAGGTCAGCTTGTCAAGGACCTGCACTTGTATGGAAAGTGTCCCGGGTTCTGAGCCCTCTTGCCCTTGAGGACAAGCAAGGAGTCCCGTGGGAGCTGGAGGAGACCCTTTGGCAGAATACTTAGTGCTCCTTTAATGCTCACCCCCCATTCCCACCCACCCCCTGTACTGCATCTAACATGTGAGGAGTCTGAGACGCTGAGAGGGAAGTGACCTGTCCAAGGCAAGGGCACACAGCAGACCTGGGCCTCAGGGACAGCGCTCTTCCCTCCTCTCCTCGGCTGAGGGCAGGAAGGCAGAGGGGCAGGAGGGGTGTGTGAAAGCAGCCAGGCCCTGCAAGTTTCCCCTACAGGTTGGGAATTGGGTGGGGGGGCGCAATAAGAAGTAGCCATTTCCATGAGGAGACATGCCCTAGTACCAGAGAACTAGAACTGGGTGTGGCTGTCCATCCACTGAGTGTCCGCTGTTCACTGCCTCGGTCAGGTTTAAGTCCCTGGGATCACCTTGATTCTGGCCCCTGGGACCCAAAGCCCAGGCACTGCCCAGCTGGTTGTCAACGGATGCTGAAAGCCCACTGGTTGGCGCCACCTGGGGGCTCAGTGCTGCAAGTTCACCAACACCCAAGTTGGAATCCCAGAGCCTGGTGCAGGCAGCCAGCCCCAGGGCCTTAGGGGCTTCACTCCTCAGACCGGACTGCACTGCCTTCAGGTAGCCTTCTGCCTTCTTTGGCCTCTCATTCTGAGCGTTCTGAGCCCAGTTCTGGTGCAGAGATGGGGCAGCCCCGGCGGTGGGTTTCCCTCCTCCCACTTTAGCCCTCCCTCCCCCTGATCCAGCCAGAGGGGACACCAGAAGCCTGGGACCCCAGAGGCAATCAGACTTCCTTTCAGCCCACACTGTCAGGCCACTCTTGCCAGTCCCGTTGTCCTAGGGTCCCGGGCGGGGAGGGGGGTGGAAGCAAACAGCCAGAGATGCTCTGAAGGTGGAATGAGCCTCCTGGGGCCCCAGAGAGACCTGCCCACGGGAACCTCCCTGGCCTGTGGCAGACGCTGCTTCTCTGCCGGCTTTAAACCCACTTCCTGTCCAGGGCCTTCTATTTCCCTCTCAGCTCCACCTGCCTTTCTGCTCCCACTCAGCTCCTTGGCTCCCCCCCTCTCCACCTGTTTGCTGCTACACTGTGTGGGGCTCAGGCTGATGGGACCTGGTCAGCATGTCCACCTGGACGGTTCAGAGCTAAGTCTCCAGCCGATCCACTGGAAGGTCATTGTGGGGATGACCCCACTCTGATGAACATGGTGTATGAAGATGAGTCCGGCATTCAGCTTGGGGTGGGGCGAGGTGGGGGGCTCTGAGCCTAACCCCAATCAGGAAAAGCTGCTGTTTGCATGGAAAGCCCCCTAGTCCCCTTCTCCAACCAGGCCCTGGGAAGTGTGAGCTCAGGACCAGTGTGAGTTCCCTCCCTCTTCTGCTCTGGCCAGATGTGTCCCTGGGGGGACAGAACCTGCCGTCTGACCAGGAGGCCATCCGCCATCGTGTCAGCTTGTGTGGCAAAGCCCTAAAGTGTGGGGGACAGACTGTGTCCCCCCAGAGCCTCACTCACAGACCTTTTGCTCCTCCAGGCTGTGCCCTTCCCACCCTCTGCTGGGCTCTCCTGTGGCGTGGAGAAGGAGGGTGAGGGAGCAACCTTGCCTGAGCAATGGGGAGCAGTGAGCCTTGGCAGTGCTCCCTCCCGGAGAAGTCGCAGGCCCTGGCTGGGGGGTCGCCGCCGTGAAGGACTGTGGCTGGAATCAAAGGCGGCAAGGGAGTGGGTTGGGGGGTGGGGTTGGCGGCAGGCAGGGAGTGGCAGCCAGGCAGCGGCAGCCTCAATCAGGGAGACTGTGGCTTAGCACATAAGACGCCTGAGGTGGAAAGGCTAAGATCTGAGGGGCCTGGGGAAATGGAGGAAAGTGGATAGGGGGCCTGGCGGGGGGAGGGGGGCGCAACAGCAGTCAGGCTGCAGTCAGCTGGTCAGCCAGGTCCCCAGACTCCATGGTCCTTGTATTGAGGCCCGTGTTCCTCAAGTCTTTGAGGCCCTTTCTTTCCTCCTGGGAGGATGGGTGACAGAACACACTCGGCTTCGCACTTGGCCACGTGTCTTTATTCCCCACTCTGCCCTTTCCAGCCAGGGGCCCTCTGGGAGAAGTGGGCGTCAGTGGGCATGCAGGGTCCACACTGCCCAGCAGGGGACATCAATCTGTTCCTCAGCTGTGCGGTGACCGGTGCCGACTCAAGGATGCTTGTCCCCCAGAGCGCGGTTCAGACAGTTGTAGAAGTAGATATACTGCTCCTGGGGTGGGGGTGAAGGTGGCATGAGAAGGCAGTGTGAGAAGCCAATTGCTTCCCTGGAGGCCCAGGGTTCTACCCGATCTGGGGTGTAGAGTGGCCCACAGCGCCACCTGGTGGCCAGGCAAACCGTGTGGCCAAGAGGTGTCCTGGAGCTGTAACTCCACCCTCCCTCCCTCAACTGTGCCCTGGGGCCTCTCACCAGCGTTGGCGTCATAAGGCTGCAGGCCTGTGACTGCTGCAGGGCCACGTTAAAGACGTCCACGATGCACTCAGCTGCAGCCTGCTGCAGCAAGCGCTCCATGGCCAGGAAAAGGCCCAGCTGGGCCACGCCTTTGCTGCAATGGCTCAGAGTCAGAGGGCCGCTTTGGATGGGGAGAGGTGGGGTGTCCAAGCAGGTGGGAGCCCCTTTGGTGGTCAGCCTGGGCCTCAACAGGGGTCTGTTTCTCCAAGATCCCCTCAAGGCTGGGGAGGTTGTACCCTTTGACCCACATTGCAAGCCCAGCTCAGAGAGGAAAGGGTGCTGGCACCCTTTGCCCATGCCCCTGGCACCTGGAGTGGCTTAGCAGCGTCCCCTGCTTCCTGCTCTTGCCCTGGGCGCAGCACTCATCCACGGCGGCCAGGAAGGGCAGCAGGGTGGTGAAGGGCAGCTCACACCCTGGCTGCCAGGGCGGAAACTGCAGCTGCTGCACCTGCCGCTCCTTCCTGCTCTCCCCCTGTGGGCAAAGCCCGTAAGCATTGGTGCCTGGGACACAGGGGGCAGCCCAGTCTCCCCATTCCCTCGGCCCAGTACCTACATGTGTGACTCTGAGGAGGGTGCAGGGCCAGCCCAGGGTGCTGCTATCCGCCACCCATTGCACCGTCACCACAGCCGTCACAATGGGATGCCTCTCCGTTGGCCAGAATTCCTGGGGGCCGGGAGTGGGGGTCCCGAGTCGGCTCCGGAGCTCCACCCTGGACCCCTAAGCCTCCTATCCTGTCCCTTCTCCTCACCTCGAGCCCCCTCACCTGCTTCTGCGCTTCGGGCGGGCACAAGGAGACCAGCACATGGGCCCCGTGCTCCCACACCAGCTCCCAGAGCTCCTCTGGGCCCGTGGGACCCGTCACCACCATGTGGTCTCGGCCAGAAGGCCCACCCTGCGGGGCACAGCTCGTTGGCTTGAGAGACTGTGGGCATTCCCTGCCCAGCCCACAGCTTGAGGCCCCTTGGTAACCCCAGCCCCGGACAGGGTCAGCCCCATGGGGTGGGCGAGGAGAAGCAAAAAGGCTGCTAAGCCAGCCTCCTCTCACGGGAAAGAGCCAGGCTTCAAGCATCTCGTCATGGGAGCCCTCTGCCAGAGGAGGAAAGTGCCCTTCAGAGCGGTCATCTGTGGGAAGACAGGGAGGCTGCACCAGATGCCCCTGGCCTGTGCCTGCCCTCCACACCCCCAAGCACCGCCGGACGGCACTCACAAGAGACGCTGCGGCGCTGCTCACAGCCAGGAGGGGGTGTCGAAGAGCTAGCCTCTTCCTCGATGGCTTGGAGCAGGAGCTGCATTGGAGAGAGGGGCATGGAGGCTGAGCTGAAAAAGGACCACCCTCACTGCCGTCGAGCGGTGCCCACTCACAGCCATCCTGTGGGGCAGGGCAGAACTGCCCCCGTGGGTTTCCGAGACTGTAACTCTTTACGGGAGCAGGAAGCCCCGTCTTGCTCCTGCAGAGCAGCTGGTAGTTTCTAACTACTAGCCTTGTGGCTCTCACAGTCCGATGTGTAACCACTATGCGACCAGGGCTCCTTAGAGGCTAGGCGGAGGCCACAGAAGTGGCAGCCTGGCAGGGGAAAGCTGTCCTCTGTCCCAAAGCGTACCTCGTACTCCTGCAAGAAGCCAGCATTGGCATCGGCCGCCCTTGTGACGCAGGCCTGTGTGAAATTCTTGACGGAGATGGGCCTGCACCTGGGTGAGGGGTGCAGAGGGGAGAAGGCAGCCCAGCTTCCCCAGCTCCCGCTCCTGGTCTTCTCAGGCCTGCAGGGGGGACAGGAGTGGGAGTCTGGGTTTGGGAGGGCACAGGGTAGCCACGCCCCCTCCCACGAGGGCCTGAGAGAGGGTTGTCTTACTCTGAGGTGTCCGAGGGTCCTTCCAGAATCTTGTTCAGGAGGCAGCTGTGCAGGAAGATGTACTGGCTCTGGCAGGGGGGCAGGGTAGCCACTGAGGAAGCAGAGAGGCTTGACAGCCGCCAGCCCCACCCCCTGCAAGCCACTGGGGGGTTGGGGTGGACGGGGGACAGGGTATGGCGGGTGCCACCTGGGGACCCTCCCTCTGCTGTTCTACAATGTCAGAGCGGGTGGGAACTTGCTCCACCTCACCTTCTACAGAAAGGGAACCGGAAGTCCGCATGGATTGGTGACCTGTGTGACCCCCACCTCAGGGTCCTCTGTGTGTGAGCCCTCCCCCATGAGCTCTTTGCCTGGTTCCCTTACCCTCCCTCCCCCCTCCAGCAGCCAGCCACTTCCCACCCTCCTCCTGTGTTCCGGCTGCCCAGCCCAGCTGCGGTGGTGCTCACTGGGGTTTGGATCATGAGGGGTCGGTGCAGCCGGAGCGCATACACAGTGTTGAACACGTCCACCACCTGTTCCTGCTCCAGCTGCTGCAGCAGCCTCATCAGGGCCACGAAGGTGCCCGTCCGGCCCACTCCCGCGCTGCGGGAACAAGGCCCGGGAAACTGAACGGGGACAGGGCTACCAGTGTCCCCCCCAAAGCCTCATCCCTGCCACCACCTCCTCTAGCCCAAGTCCAGGCAGCAGGCCTCCCACCTGACTCACCTGCAGTGCACCAGGGTGGGCCCAAAGCCCTGGGTGGCCCGGGCCTGCTCCCGAACCAGCTCCACAAAAGTGAGCAGAGAGCTGGGGGCCTCGGGGATGCTGTGGTCAGGCCAGGTGGTGAACTGCAGCTGCTTCACCCTCCGCTGGCGATGCTCAGACGCCTGCATCCAGGAAGCAGGGGTGGGCAGGGGGCCCTGCTGCTCCTACGGATTGCCCACTGGCCCCAGCCCAGAAAGCATTCTGGGGACGACCCTGCCCTACCCACTGATGCTCCCCAAGGGGAGTGTCTGGCTCCCCTCTCCTCTCCACCAGGATGGCTCCAAGCCCATGGGTCCTCTTCTATCATGAGGGTGCCCAGGCAGATGGGTGATTCTGGCCCCGGACTCCTGCCCCAGGAGGCCCCACTGGAGAAGCAGCGGGGCACCGGGGTGGTGGGGTGAAGGGAGACCTGTGCTGAGGGAGGGCAGGGCCCTCCCGTCTTGCCCCGGCTACCCTGGATTCCTGGGCTGCCTTGGCCACCCCCTTCACCCGCTAAGTGCCTCATTCACACTCCCAACCCCAGCTGCCCAAGGGAGTCGGGAGCCCTGGGTAGTGCCAAGTGCCTGGGGTCCACAGGAAGGTGGTTCTGGGGACCCAGGAAATGAGGCCCCCTTCTTGGGGTTCTTAGTGCTATGGCACCCCTGCCCCCCGCTCTGCTCGCCTCCCTGGGACACACACATGCTGCAACCGGAACTCGCGCTTGGTCCACTCATCCTCTGGCTCTTCGACCAGGAGGTAGACGGTGATGTGACCCAGAGTGATGGGGGTGGAGTCAGCTGGCCAGTAATGCTCACACAGCACCTGGGCCCAGACAGTGGACAGGGCAGAGGCTGAGCACCAGCCCGCCCCCAAACAACTCACCCAGCCCTCCCACCAGCCTTCTGGTCCCTGCTACCTGGCCAGACATTCTTCTCTGTCATGAACTCCACACTGAAGCACCAGGACCCCAGACCTCTCCTACAGCCTCTGGGGCTCTGACTGAGCTCCAGGCTCCTTAGTAAAACAGGGAGCAAAACAGGGTGGCCCTAATCTAATGGCTCTCAGGCTGGAGGACAAACACTCCCCATGGTCACCACTCCGTCTCAGGAGTGGGCACGGAGACCCATCCACTGGGCTCGGTGAAGGCAAGGGTGCCCAAGACTCCTCCCCTCCATGCCGCCCTGAGTCAGTCCTCACGCCCATGCCCCAGCCTCTCCGGGCCCTCTCTCTGGACAAGAACGAGCAGACACAAGAAGCAGCAGGGGCGCTTGGAGATGGAGCCAGCTTCTCACTTCTCACACCCCACTGCCTCCCAATGCTGATGAGGGCAGGGGTGTGTGTGGGTGGGAGTGGGATTAGCCTTCACCTGGCCGGCCTCACCGCAGTTAGTCCTGCCAGGGAGACGTGCGCCCCTGCTGGCCGCCCGGGCCCCGGCAGTGTGCTCACCCGCCCGTTCTCCATGCCCACAGTCAGCATGACGATGGTGTGGACCTGCTGCTCCCACACCAGCCGCCAGAAGTCCTCCAGGGTTCTCTTGAGGGGCCCCTGGGTGGCAATGAATTCCTGCGGGTGGGTGTAACCCTGGCGTGTGGGCGGCAGAGGACAGGAACATGTCAACCGGTGAGCCCTGGGTCCCCTGGGCCCTCCCAAGCACCCTGAGGTGCATCCACCCCCTCAGGAGTGAGGACTCGCTGGGCACGCCGATACGTGTGCAAGCGTGTGAACACGTGTGTGCAGCGAGCAAGCAAACCTGGGTCCTTCAGAGATACCACCCCCACCTCCCCCATGGGCCGCCGTATGAGCAAGCAGAAAGAAACACACAGACCCAAGGAGCCTCCTAGCCTACCCTCCTCGCCCACCCCAGAGGGACCTTCCAGAAGCCAAGCTCTGTATTCCCCCATGCTCAAACCTCTGCCCTGGCTCCCCATGGCCACCCAACAAACCCCCAAGCCTCAAGTCCAACAGCCCCCAGGGTCCCTGGCCGGGGCGGACGTGTGTCCGGTCAGGCTCTTTCTGCAGCCGGAATGTCCCTCCTACCTGTCTCGTTCCCACACATGCACAGTCTGTCCGTCCTTCCAGACCTGACGGATCATGTGCTATTCCTTCTAGAAACCCCTGCTTCTGGGGGTGCCAACTGCCTCTCCTGCCCTGCGCCCTGAACCCCGGGCTGGTTCCTGTATTACAACACCGTCACACACACACACCACGTGTCCTCCCCTGGGGCCAAGGGAAACCTCAAAGCCAGCCCGGCCTCCCGCAGCCCATGACAGGGCCTGACGTACACATACAGCCTGGGTGCTCGTCAGTCGACGGGCTCACGGCAATGTCATGTATGTCAGAGCAGAACACGCTCCATCGCTTTTCAGGGGCTGGCTTTTCAGAAGTAGATCGCCAGGCCTGTCTGCTGAGGTGCCTCTGGGTAGACTCAAACCACTGACCTTTCAGATAGCAGCTGAGCCCCAATGTCTCTACACCCTGCTGGGTGGGCCGAAGGAACCTGAGCGGTGCCCCTCACCCCCATCACGCATGTCCACCTAGAGCTTGGGTAGAAGTGCGCCTGCCCCAGCCTGCCTCCCAAGCAGATGCACCCACAGACACCGCGGGCGGCCCTTACAGGGATAAAGTTGGCATTGATGTAGTCGGAGTGGGGCTCTCCCTCCAGCTGGGTCAGCCTGACCCGAGAGTGGTCATCTGCAGAAGATGAAGGTGGTGTCTTCAGTGCCTGGCACCAGCCCCACCCACTCCCCATGCCAAGCCCTGCCCTCTGCCCCTGCCCCTCTCCTGCCCTTAGCTCACAGGGCAGCACGTGCGGGTAGCGGTTCTTGGTGGCGTTAGCTGGGTGCTCGGCCTCTAGTCTGGGCTGTTCCCTGCCCACCTCCTTCAGCTCCTGCAGAGATTGGGGGTGGGCAGTGGTGGCTGGAGCAGGCCCCTCCCCCTCTCTGGACACGGCAGGTGTGAGACTGCACAGGGGCCGATGCCTCACCTCAAATTCCTGGAAAAAAGCCTGGTGAGCACGTGCACTCTTGGCCTCATAGCTCTGCTGGAAGCTCTGCATGGGGACTGGCCGGTGGGTCCGCCTGGGAGGAGTGGGGAGTGGGGCTGGATGGGCAGCAATGGGCCTCTGTCCTTACAGGAGTGAGAACACAGGGCCAGGCACCAGGCCCTGGCTGGGGATCTACACGCAGGTCTAGCAAGTTCAGCTACGCAAGAGGGCCACCGGTAAGGGGGGACCGCTGGGGCCTCGGGTCTGCATGGGAGTGGTAGAGGAGCCCCTCACCTCCACCCCGGGGGTCTGGAACAGGACGTCCCCCAGGGGCAGACAGCAGGCCTCACAGAGGAGAGAGAGCATGACAGACAGACAGATGGACAAATAGAAGCCAGTGGTCAATCCGGGATGGAGGTAGAGAAGGAGGCAGAATGGGCCCAGAGGAGACCCCTCCCCAAAGATGGCTAAGGAGGAAGAGCAGGTAGGGGGGCTTGGCAGTGTCGCCTGGGTCCCCCCAAGATCAGCCTCTCGCCAGCACCCCAGAGCAGTACTCACCGCAGGTTATACATGGTCAGCTCTTGGGGAAACTGATTCTTTTCGGCCCTGCATAGGGAGAGGAGGGGTGTGGGAGGCAGCCCTTGGGGCACCGCCTGCCCCCGCCCCCTGCCCCCTGCCCCCCAGTCTCCTGCAGAGCCCTAGCCGGGTCTCCCACTCACCTCTGCCCTCTCACTCGCAGCCAGCTCAGCAGCCCCAGCATGGCACAGACCACGAGGATACAGCTCGCCGTGATGCCCACCACCACAGGGAGGGGCACTGCTGCCCTTGAAACACGGGCCCGGGGCTCTGGAGGGGCAAGGGAAGAAGGAGCATATGGCAGCCTTGCCCCCACCCTGCCACTGCACACCATCCTCCCCAGGTGTGGGACCCTGGGGCAGAGAAGACAGCGACCTCTTCCCCAGGAGTCCCAGCGGCCACGCTAAGGGCCGAAATTGCTGTAGGGGTGGGGGTGAGGGCGTATGGAACATGCTGGGCAGGCACTGACAACCCCCAGCAAGCCCTCCCTCCCTGGCACCTTAAAGGAGAGTCAGAGGCAGGGGCCAGCCTCCTGAGTGGCCCTGTCCAACAACAGAGTCCTGAGTGGCAGGCACGGATGAGCGTGCCATAGCTAGCCAAAAGGTTGGTGGGTTGAACCCTTGTAGAGGCGCCTTGGAAGAAAGCCCTGGTGACCTGTTTCTGAAGGGCCTGCAGAGCAGTTCAGCTCACACGCAGGGCACCGGGGGTCACGCTGGCCGGCCGGCAGCTAACAAGCCCCCTGTTCAAGAACACTGCAGCCTCTAGCCCGCTGTGGCCACTGAGCACCTGGTATGTGGCCAATCCAAACTGAGGTGCGCTCACAGTGTTGATCTATTGACACTTAGGGCAGGTGTATATAAACACACACACACACATATGCCACCAAGTCACTTCCAACTTAAAGCGACCCTACAGGTAGGGCTTCCCAAGCTTTGTCCGTCTTTACAGCAGCAGACAGCCTCATCTTTCTTTCAAGGATGGACTGGTGGGTTTGAACTGCCCATCTATGGGTAGCAGGCCCATGCTTACCCAAAGTTTAAATATTTAAGGAGAAAAACGAATGTGAAAGATATCATTCGCTTAAAAGTAAAAGGATCACACGACTCATCTAAGAACTAAGAAACCCTGTGGATTTCTGAGACTGTCACTCTGGATGAGAGCAGAAAGCCTCTTCTTTCTCCCTGGGCGCAGCTGGGGGGTTTGAACCGCTCAGGTTATGGTCAGCAGGCGAGTATGTCGTCAACCATGCCACCAGGGATCCTAATGATTTCAATATCTTGGTTTACATAAAATATGCTTTCAAAATCAATTTCAACTGTTTCATTTACTTTTTTTAATGTGACTATACGCTAAAGATAAACTCACCATCATGGAGGCGATGCCGGTTCCCGGTGACCCTGCAGGACAGGGTAGAACTGCCCCTGCGGGTTTCCAAGACTGTCACTCTTGACAGGAATTAAAAGTCTCCTCTTTCTCCTGAGGAGCCACGGGAGGTTTTGAACTGCTGACCTTGTGGTTAGCAGTCCAAAGTGTAACCACAATGCCACAAGGGTTCCTAGGCAACGCTAAATGCATATCCCCATCTGTGGCTGGCCGTGCGTTCGTCGTGGATCATGTTCTCTGAGAACCTGGATGGCCGTGGCGCCCAGCTGTAAGGGCCGTAAGGTGCTAGAATGCTGTGCCATCCCAGACCTTGGCAAAGAGCCTCGCGGAGGACTCTGTCTCTGCCTCCCACCAGCCTGACCCTGAAGCCAAGGGCATCGTCCTCGGGCTTCTGGGCCTCTCAGCTCCGCTGGGCAGCACGTTACTCCTGGAGTCTAACCTTAGTCCCTCCAGCTGCCGGTTGGGAGGAATCCTCCGAAGAGGAGTCCCCACACTCCTCTCCCCCTGCAGGGCCCTGCCAGGTGCCTGCCCTACCTGAGAAGGCTGAGAAGGAGATGACGGGCTCGGGAGGCCTGGACCGGGAAAAGGCGGCAACGCTGAACCTGGGCAGAGAGACGGGCCTTGGTGGGCAGGCGAAGGGGGCCGCAGCTCCCAGGAGACAGAGAGCAGCAGACACACAACAGAGCTTCCTGCCTCTCGTTAGAGGCTGGACATTGAGCTACCCGGACCCCAAGACCAAGACTCCCCCAGCGTTCTCCCATCCTCCCTGCCCAGTGCTGAAAGCAAGTATACGAGGGCGCCCTAGAAATAGATGGCCGAGCGTCACTGCGCTGGCTCATACAAGCTGAAAGAGAGCCCACGCTCCCCACTTTCCTTTTGAAGTGTTCTCCTCTTTGTCCTGCCCACCAGGACGCCCAATCAAAATGACTCTTTATGGCACGTTCGTCCAGTTCTTTAGTAGAAAGAGTCGTAAGCAGCCTATTAAAACCTGCAGCCACTGCTCATGCTGCCTGCCTCCAGCCGCAGCCCTCACCTATACGGGGCACCCGTCTTGAGTTGCCCGTTACAGATCTCCTGGGTCTGGCCACAGTCTTCTGTACCGATGGGCACCGACCAGGACACCGGCACAGCCCAGGGCCCCGGGTAGAAGGGGTTGGGGAGCAGGACGGCCAGGTAGGACTCCTGCCCCCCATAGTAGTGGTCATACCACGTGCAGTTGATGGCTTCCCGGGGCGGCTGGACCACTGGGAAAGGGGGTAGGGGGAGACAGACAGGATCAGCAGAGGCCCAAGGCCTCTCTCTCCCCCAGCTGCAGCAAGGTGGGCCCGTGTCTCTGACACACTCCCCCCTACACAACCCAGCATGTGCTATATCCAGGAGAGAACCCTGGGTCTCCCTGCTTCTACCGCCCACGATGGAATCTGGTCTTTAGTCCCTGGGCCCCCTCTCCTGCCCCGGACCAGGTAGCAGCCTGGTCCCCACACACCCCGTTCCAGAGGCCAGAACTCACATGACATGTTGGTGGTTGCAATGACGCCATACCACTGGATCAGCCCGTCGCCATCACCAAACATGGCCCGTGGGATCACCACACCCATCTCCAGCTCAGGCTCCAGCTCAGGCGCCTCGGCTAACTCGGGGGGCTGCCAGACTAGAGAGGGAGTGGAGGAGAGCAGGGACCTCATTAGGTATCCATGGCCTGCCTTCTGAGGGAGGGGCCAGCCTGTGTTTCCCTGGAGCCCCGGACAGGGGCGAACACACAGTGGGCCCTCTGCGAGTGGCCGGTGGATACAATCGAATCAGAGGGTGGCAGCTCCTAGGCATCCCAGCATGGCACCCACTTCCATATCTAGGAAGGCAGGGGCACAGGGATCAAAGCTCCTTTGGGGTGACCAGGGTTGGGAAGCATGGGGAATGGCGGGGCTGCGTAGCTTGGGGACCCTCAGCTTCCAGTGAGGGCGACGGAATAGGTGGGGAGGGGATAGTGGTTCCACAAGATGAGCACAGCTGACGTCACTGGACTGGACGTGTACACAGTGTTGACATGGCAACGGTCTGTTCCGTAGGGGAGGGCAAGTCAAGTAGTACTGCTACCGAATCACAGAAGCCCATTCTCAACAGGACTGTCAAAATGGGAAGCTAGTGTCCCTCAGCAGGTCTCCATGGAGGGCTGCGCACGTCTCAAGGCTGAGCTGCCTCCTTTCCCCCAAAGATGTCTGTGCCCTTTGATTGACACCACGTCAAATGGCAGCTTGGGTGTCCTCCAGGCACTCAGGCTGTGCTCCTTTAAAATGCCAGGAGCCCTGGTGACAGAGTGGCTGTGCATTAAGCTGATACCCCCAAGGTCGGCAGTTCAAAACCACCAGCCGCTCTGTAGGAAAAAAGACAAGGCTTTCTACTCCCGTAAAGAGTTTGGTTTTTTTAAAAGTCACGTCTTCCATCGAGTCAATGCCGGCTCATGGACTGTAGACGCATGCACTCAGTGGCAGGCTAGAGCAGCCCCTGTGAGTTCCCGAGACTGTAACTTCCCATGGGAGTAGAAAGCCCCTTTTGCTCCCGAGGAGCTGGGGACCTTGCAGACTGCGGTCCAGCATGCAACCACGAGGCTGTTTGTCCAGGGCTCCTGGCAGAGCGTCACAGTCTCAGAAGCCCCAGGGGCAGCTCTATGCTGCCCTACACGGCTATGGAGAGTCAGAGTGGGCTCGATGGCGGTGGGCTTGCATTTGGGGGACAGAGCGACTTCTGAAGGGGCAAGACTAAGGTCCGAGGGAGGACGGGGTGAAGTTCCCCACTGACATTCTCGTCGGAGATGCTCGCCCTTGTTTTCCTCCCAGCATGAGCAGGTGCACCGTTGTGATGAGAAGAACATAAAAATTCCCCAGGACACATGTCCCGGCTTTTGTTTTTCTTCTCATTGACGCCATATGCAGTGCCGTGAACACATCTTCATACAAAGCCACGGCGGCTACTCTGCGTCCGTGAGAAGAAGGCTCACCAGGATGCCTTGGGCATCCACAAACCTGTCCTCATTGCCTTCTGAGCTGACCTCTCTGCCAGGAATTTAACTGGTCGGGCAGATCCCCTCGCGGGACCCTCTTAAAGGCAAGAGAGTGAGACAGGTGTGACGGAGAGGCCTGTCTGAAGACTCTGCTCCTGCCAGTTTTGTGTGGAGTAAACTTGGGCCTGTGGGAGGGAGCTGGGACCCTGGTAGCAAAGCACCCTGCCTTGCCCTGGTCCTGACATGCCCTTGCCCTCCTGGGTGCTCATTTCCTCCTGCTGCACAGGAGTCACTGCCTCCAGATCAGGCCAGTGGACAAGGTTGGGAGCCGGGGCGTGAGGACTCCAGGTGGGCAGTGGTGGAAGGGGCCTGAGGGCACAGAGGTGGCACCCGGGACATTGGAAAGTGCCTACCCTCAGCAGAGGTGGTGCACACCAGGGTGACCGCCCGGCTCCACAGCCCGTTGCGAGCCAGAGCAGTGAGGCTTAGGCGGTAGGAAGTGCCAGGCACCAGGCCGCTCAGCTGCACTGCATCCCCAGAGGTGTTGGCTCGAAAGATGAGGCGGGCGTGCCCTCCGGCTGTCAGCTGCTCCGCCACCACAAGGCAGGTGCCCACGTCACCGGGGGGCACCGTCCAGTTGAGGGTCAGGTGGGTGGCCTCAGGCTGGCACTGCACATCCTCCACGGGGCCAGGCTCTGTGGGAGTCCAGGTCTCTGCTTTGTGTGGGGGTCAGATGCAACATCCCCACTTTGGAAGGGACCTGGACCAGGGTCTCCCCAAACCATCAGGTGGAAGGGACTTGGCATGTGTGCCCACCAAGGGGGGTCTGGGCACCCGGGCAGGGAAGCACCTTCTCCTTTGTATGTCCCTGCCCTGCAGCAGGTGGCTTTATCACCCACCGGGGGTGGGGGTGGGGGACAGAGTAGCCAGTGCCGCCAACTGGATGGGGGCCTGTTTCTCAGGGCACCCCCGTCTGCCCCAGTAGATGCCAACCTACCAACGGGTAATACCACGGAGTGAGTGGAGGCCTGGAGTGGGCCCGCCTGGCACAGCACGGACAGGGAGAGGTTGCGTCCGGGTGTGAGGCCCCTGAGGATGAGGTGGGCTTGGCCAAGCACCAGGGGCTCCTCCCAGGTGAGGTACCCAGCCTCTGAGAGCCGGGCATGGCACTGCCCCTGCCCTAGGGCGCCGCTGGCCCAGGCCAGGTTGACCACCGCACTGCCTGCCTGCATGGAGACCAACAGCTCGTTGGGCAAGAGCGGGGCTGTGGAGTGAAGGGGAGAGGTCAGGCTGGTCAGAGGCCAGGCACGCCACCCAAAGCCCTTGGCGGGGATGGAGGGGGGATGAAGGTGCCATGGGAGGGAGAGCCCAGGGGTTGGGAAAGCAGCCTGTCCCCACCCCTACTTACAGGTCCAGCCGGAGACGTTGGCTGCCACGGCCTGGAGGGGCCCAGCCTTGGAGACCACCTCCACCTCGTACTTCGTGCCCGGAGTCAAGGCCAGAAAGCTGGTGCTGTCTATCTCCGGGCCCGTGGTGCTGCTGCCCACCCAGACGCCCGCCTGGTACAGAGTCACCTGGTAGCTGTCCCGGCCCCCAGGAGCATGGGCCCAGGA